ACGTCTGTGGCTGGAATCTGGTGCAAAATGAGACTGTTTCTTCCTCTCTGTTCTGTTGTCTCCTCTCCCAGGTTCCATCTGGTGAGCAAAGCCTTTTTTTTTTAAATCTTCATATCAATTCATTTGGGAATCAGTGCCCCACAAAACCAAAGAGGAAAACATCACGTTCTGGCAGCGATGGAGGAGAAAAGCAGACTTTTGTAACAGAGAGAAAGTGTAGGGTACAGTATGCTGTAAAATAGAAGGTAGAAAGTGAAGGGTACAGTATGATTTAAAATAGGCTACTGTGGGGCAGATAGTAGTTGGACTGTGATCTTTGTTCTGTCGTCACTGAAGCTGCATCTACAGTGCCTTCAGAAAGTATTCAGACCCCTTCACTTTTTCCACATTTTGTTACCTTACAGCCTTATTCTAAAATGGATTACATTTGAATTTTTTCCTCATCAATCTACACACAATATCCCATAATGACGAAGCAAAAATAGGTTTTTAGACATTTTGGCAAATGTATTACAAATAAAAAACAAAAATATCACATTTACAATAGTATTCAGACCCTTTATTCAGTATTTTGTGGAAGCACCTTTGGCAGCGATTACAGCGTCGAGTCTTCATGGCTATGACGCTATGATCTTAGCATACCTGTATTTGGGGAGTTTCTCCCATTCTTCTCAGCAGATCCTCTCAAGCTCTGTCAGGTTGGATGGGGAGCGTTGCTGTACAGCTATTTTCAGGTCTCTCCAGAGATGTCCGATCAGGTTAAAGGGCCGGCTCTGGCTGGGCCACTCAAGGACATTCAGAGACTTGTCCCGAAGCCACTCCTGCATTGCCTTGGCTGTGTGCTTAGGGTTGTTGTCCTGTTGGAAGGTGAACCTTCGCTCTGGAGCAGGTTTTCATCAAGGATCTCTCTGTACTTTGCTCCGTTCATCTTTGCCTCGATCCTGACTAGTCTCCCATTCCCTGCCACTGGAAAACATCCCCACAGCATGACGCTGCCACCTCCATGCTTCACTGTAGGGATGATGCCAGGTTTCCTCCAGATGTGACACGTGGCAATCAGGCCAAAGAGTACAATCTTGGTTTCATCAGACCAGAGAATCTGGTTTCTCATGGTCTGAGAGTCTTTAGCTGCCTTTTGGCAAACTGTCATGTGCTTTTTACTGAGGAGTGTCTTCCGTCTGGCCACTCTACCATAAAGGCCTGATTGGTGGAGTGCTGCAAAAATGGTTGTCCTTCTGGAAGTTTCTCCCATCTCCACAGAGGAACTCTAGAGCTCTGTCAGAGCGACCATCGGGTTCTTGGTCACCTCCCTGACCAAGGCCCTTCTCCCCCGATTGCTCAGTTTGGCTGATCGACCAGCTCTAGGAAGAGCCTTGGTGGTTCCAAACTTCTTCCATTTAAGAATGATGGAGGCCACTGTGTTCTTGGGGACCTTCAATGCTGCAGACATTTTTTGGTACCCTTCCTCAGATCTGTGCCTCGGCACAATCCTATCTAGGAGCTCTAAGGACAATTCCTTCGACCTCATGGCTTGGTTTTTTACTCTGACATGCACTGTCAACTATGGGACCTTATATAGACATGTGTGTGCCTTTCCAAATCATGTCCAATCAATTGAATTTACCACAGGTGGTCTCCAATCAAGTTGTAGAAACATCTCAAGGATGATCAATGGAAACAGGATGCACCTGAGCTCAATTTCGAGTCTCATAGGAAAGGGTCTGAATACTTAAGTGAATAAGGTATTTCTGTTTGTATTTTTAATACGTTCGCAAAAATGTATAAAAAAAACGGTTTTCGCTTTGTCATTATGGGGTATTGTATGTAGATTGCTAAGGATTTTTAATTATTTAACACATTTTCTAATAAGGCTGTAACGTAATAAAATGTGGAGAAAGCCAAGTGGTCTGAATACTTTCTGAATGCACTGTATATGTAGTGGAGGTTAACTAGTCACCTGACCTTGCCATCCATGACACCTGTACTTTAATGCAGCTGAACGTCAGGGTTGTACATGGGGAGAATCTCAATTGCATTTCCTTGATTCCTCACATCCACTCTCCTCACCTCCTTCTCAAAACCCATTGGATGAGAAGATCAGAGGTGCTGGTCCCTAGTCATGCGACCTCTTCTCTGACTTCTCCTGGCTCTCAGCTCAATATCATTTAGTCTGACTTCTCCTGGCTGTCAGCTCAATATCATTTAGTCTGACTTCTCCTGGCTGTCAGCTCAATATCATTTAGTCTGACTTCTCCTGGCTGTCAGCTCAATATCATTTAGTCTGACTTCTCCTGGCTCTCAGCTCAATATCATTTAGTCTGACTTCTCCTGGCTGTCAGCTCAATATCATTTAGTCTGACTTCTCCTGGCTGTCAGCTCAATATCATTCAGTCTGACATTATCAGCTAGCGTCAGGAACCCATTACCAGAACAATACTCAGGGTACAACACATACACACACATACACACGTACGAACGTACACAGGTGTGTGTGAGTGTGAATGTGTGTCTTTGAGAAAGGGGACTGAGTGGGTGGTCTCCAAACGGGTTCTTTCTCTTCTCATCGTTCGCTCCTGTGATTTCTAAACACTTGGCCTGCAGCGGTGGAGCGACTGTTTAGCCTGCCTCCCTACAGCTGTTTACTGTATTCACACCTCCCTCACACCTTTCACTGGCGCTATTCACATCAGGGCTTAAAACCCTGTCTACAGAACTGAATCTAAATAGACAGACCTGATTTTTTTTCACAGTTCACAAAGAGTTAATGGATTTTCATGGTGTTAAATTAAACACATTGGTTTGAAGGTAAGGCCTATCCTGAGAAATTAGACTAGAATCATAGGGTTATATCTGAATAAAATGAGGATTCCTAGAAACCACAACTGTCAAATTCAGCGTACAACCCTACTATTCTGAGGTAAGTTCGAGAAAATGGTAAACTAAGACAGGAAGGACAGCAAAACAACATAGTGCCGTTTACATGTAGGCCTACCTACTGTTGTCATTTTAACAGGGTGGTGGGGTGTAAGGTCAGGGATAATTCACTGACATGATTCTGGCCATCGATCTGTGCTTTGATTACTGACATGGATCTGGGTTGATGTGTTAAAAGGACAACAACAACATGACTGGGACTCTAATGGGACTCTTTACAATTACTGTCCCTTCAATGCAAGCACAAGTCCATCTCACACACACACACACACACACACACACACACACACACACACACACACACACACACACACACACACACACACACACACACACACACACACACACACACACACACACACACACACACACACACACACACACACACACACACACACACACACACACACACACAGTGGATTAGATTATTGTTTTCAAGTGAAGTTACTAGATGTTCTAACAGTGAACCGTTAAAACGGGACATTTGCGTGACTTTGTACCATCTGTGCGCTTAAAAACAAAAAATCACAATTAGAAGCCATCCGGCGTTGCCAGCGACGACAGGCGCTCTCGGTACAAAGGCTACCGGTCATTTCCGCCTACCGTAATGTGTGTCAACTCACAAGTGGTCTAGGGAGATGGAAAGTCCATCTGTTTTATGGGGCAGTTCCTTAGAATTGGCCCTGAATTACAAACTGTTTAGGCTAGTTCATCACTATAGCTGCTGTTAATTAATTATCATGATTGGTCTTGATTGCTGACTTGTTTGCAGTGAGAATAAACCCAGACAAAAGGGAAAGTTTTGGAGGATAAGCAATATCATATGATAGCTAGATAGCAGGGGGCATATTGGTCACTTAAGGCTTGTTCACACTGCAGGCCTTAATGCTCAAATCAGTTGTACATTTTTACATTTTAGTCATTTAGCAGACGCTCTTATCCAGAGCAACTTACAGTTAGTGAGTGCATACATTTTCATACTGGCCCCCCCGTGGGAAACGAACCAACAACCCTGGCGTTGCAAGCGCCATGCTCTACCTTTTTGGAATACTAACTGTCCAAACAGCAAGTTACAAGTGACCAAATTGGATGTGTGTGTGTTCAGACAGCAGTCATTTGCTGACGTGGCTATGCTGGTTGTCATAGTAATGGCAGGTGTGTGCACAGTGGTGTAGGCTGATTGGTGCTCGTGCTTCCTGTCACTCAGAAATTATGTAGCAAGCTAAGGTGACAACAATGCCTGCCATGGAATGTTTCCCAATTGCTTTGAATGTTCAAAATCATAGTGTAAGAATACTTTTAAAGCCTCAAAAGATAAAATTATCCAACTTTCAAAACAATAATTTTGGGCTAGTCACAGCAGTCAACTAGCTAGCTAGCTAGCTGTTCAGCTTTCTAGCACATTCACTAATTTATTTGTAAACAATTAACAAGCTAGTTAGCTACCACATTTTCTTGTCAAACTGTCAACAGAGTAGCTGGCAAGCAACAAGATATGCCAAATAACAGTCTAGAAACCACTTGAGGGAAAATCAATCAGATTTGTATCTGACTTCAAACCATCTGTGTGCTTTTTGGCTGTTCAGACTGCAGGAAATAGAACAGCATCTAATCGGATATGCAATAATATAGGATATGAGTCACTTCAAAACTGCCAATGTGAACACGGCTTTAGTCTATATGTTACCCAGTGCTTCTTATGTCTGGTCCTGGGAACACAGAGGGATGCACATTTGTATTTATTGCCTCAGCACTACACACACCTGATTCAAATCTAAAGCTGGATGATGAGCTGTGTAGTGTTAAGGGCAAAAACAACAATATGCACCCCTTTGGGTTCCCAGGACCAGGATGAAGAAACACTGGGTTAGGCTATACAGGTCAATGTCATGCAGCCTTAGTGTAAAAATGTATTTGCCTAGCTAACCTATAGTCTAGCCCAGAGACATATTATTTTCTAAATATATGTCACTTGGTTGGTATAGCCTAAAGGTTAGTTTATGTTAGCCTATCAGGGAAACGTTGCGAGGTAAGCTACCTGTCTGGGGTTCCTCTCGGATTTACTCCTACACCACTCCCAGTCCGTCAGCTCGATTCTTCTGCACTCCACATGCGACAGTCTCCGTTCCATTCCCTCGAACACCGACGACGTGTCGGTGAGGTTGAGGTCCTCGTGGTCCCGGGAGCTGGGTCCCGCAGAAGAAGCCGTCCTGGTCTCCATGGTTATCGTGAGGAAACTGGAGGCAGTCTGCCAGCGCGAGGGCCTCTCCTCCACCTGCCACTGCCTCGAGAAGCAGCTCGTCATGCTCACGCAGTGGGGAGCTGTCCACCGCACGTGGGGTCCTGAACTCGAGCTCGGCCTGCAGGCTCGCGACCCCGGAGCTGTCCAGCACTGCAAGTTGGTTTTCTGTGAAGTCACAGTTGAAGAGGTTGTGATAGGAAGGCTTCTCGACGGACGGGCTGCGGTGGGGTTTGGTCGCGTGGGATATCTTGTATATTCCGTACCCTTGATGGAAGGAGAGGTTAAACTCAAACCTCTTCTTTGCTGTGGGAAGAAAATGAAAATGTGTAGTGACTTTTGCAACAAAAAAACAAACAAAAACAAATTGCATTTAGATGACTTTATTGATTTATTTTATGACATTGATGTAGGCTTATGTGTTTCAGACCCACATTTTTTTTTTTGTAACGGTGTCCGTGTAAATGTGTTAGGTTTAATGCGTAGGTCTATACTGTATGTTATGATTCTCGGAGGCATATAGGGCTATGTTACCTATGTTAAAATGTTACGTTGCTTTAGATAAGCGTCTGGTTTGCACCCATATGTTTTTCCACTCTGCACCTCAGCTCACTGGCCCTTTACAATCACAGAGGGAATAGCCTACCGGTGGGCTCCTGCTCTGTGTCCCGCTGGCAGTCGATGAAGCACCCGCACGGAAGGTGGATCCAGCGCTCGGAGAGCATGAACACCGGCGTGACCGCAGGCGCCAGCAGGGTCAGGAAGAAGCTCACCGTTTCCACCGTTTCAAGGTACGAGCTGGGGGCATTCACAGCATGACGCACGAGCACCAGAGTCTGTGAATGAAATGGCTTAGTTAGGCCCCTATGGCCTACTTCATGAATCTAATTCATCATTAGATTATGACATAGGGTAACGTGGGGTAACTGCCCACCTTCCCCCGTAATTCGAACAGAAACCACTTTATGTCACCACATATTTTCCAACACTTTCCCTGGCTGTCAACAATAAATGGTCCTCTTTAGCTCAGCTGGTAGAGCACGGCGCTTGTAACGCCAAGGTAGTGGGTTCGATCCCCGGGACCACCCATACACAAAAAAATGTATGCACGCATGACTGTAAGTCGCTTTGGATAAAAGCGTCTGCTAAATGGCATATTATATTAAGACACTCATAATTTAGAAAAAGTTATATACACTAGGCGTACAAAACATTAGAGCACCTTCCTAATATGGAGTTGCACCCCGTTTTGCCCTCAGAATAGCCTCAATTCGTCGGGGCATGGACTCTACAAGGTATCAAAAGCGTTCCACAGGGCCCAATGCTTCCCACAGTTGTGTCAAGTTGGCTGGATGTCCTTCGGGTGGTGGACCATTCTTGATACACACAGGTAACTGTTGAGCATAAAAAACCCAGCAGCGTTGCAGTTCTTGACACAATAAAACCGGTTTGCCTGGCACCTACTACCATACCCCGTTCAAAGGCACTTAAATATTTTGTCTTGCCCATTCACCTTCAGAATTGCACACATACACAATCCATGTCTCAATTGTCTCAAGGCTTAAAAATAATTATTTAACCTGTCTCCTCCCCTTCATCTACACTGATTGAAGTGGATTTAACTAGTGACATCAATAAGGGATCATAGCTTTCAACTGGATTCACCCGGTCAGTCTATGTCTGGGAAATAGCAGGTGTTCCTAATGTTTTGTACACTCAGTGTATAATCTAATTAAGGCCAGGCACCACAGGCTGAAATTACATTTTTGCATCTACCAAAAAAAACGTTTTGAGATTTGTTGGTATTTTGGTCCATTAATATTAGTATTTTCAAAAAGTAAACATAAAAATGTCAAAAACTTCACGAAAATGTCTATTTTTTTTGTTTATCATACTACCGTCATCAACATTTGAATGAATTTTAACCACTTATAATGGACATACATCAATAATTTCAAAGCTCACTACATTGAATTACACAGAATTTCAAACGCCTATTTCATAGAAAATGTTACAAACTGAACTACATCTAGTAACTTACTTTAAAGAGATGGTGATTGGGTCTAAATAGGCTTTTGGAGTTTTGGTTAGTCTTAATTCAGTGTACTTGTCTGTAACTGTCATTTCCCAAAAGTCAGACTCTTCCCATACGCCAACACATTTCCTTCAGCTTCAGAAGCCTCTGCATTCACCAAATTGTGTGTGGTTATCCTTAGATACAGTATACAGTTGAAGTCGGAAGTTTACATACACTCAGGTAGGAGTCATTAAAACTTGTTTTTCAACCACTCCACAAATTTCTTGTTAACAAACTATACTTTTGGCAAGTCGGTTAGGACATCTACTTTGTGCATGACACAAGTCATTTTTTTCAACAATTGTTTACAGACAGATTATTTCACTTATAATTCACTGTATAACAATTCCAGTGGGTCAGAAGTTTACATACACATTTACATTTACATTTTAGTCATTTAGCAGACGCTCTTATCCAGAGCGACTTACACTAAGTTGACTGTGCCTTTAAACAGCTTGGTAATTCCAGAAAATGATGTCATGGCTTTAGAAGCTTCTGATAGGCTAATTGGCATCATTTGAGTCAATTGGCGGTGTACCTGTGGATGTATTTCAAGGCCTACCTTTAAACTCAGTGACTCTTTGCTTGACATCATGGGAAAATCAAAAGAAATCAGCCAAGACCTCAGAAAAATATTTGTAGACCTCCACAAGTCTGGTTCATCCTTGGGAGCAATTTCCAAACGCCTGAAGGTCCCACGTTCATCTGTACAAACAATAGTACGCAAGTATAAACACCATTGGACCACGCAGCCGTCATACCGCTTAGGAAGGAGATGCGTTCTGTCTCCTAGAGATTAACGTACTTTGGTGCGAAAAGTGCAAATCAATCCCAGAACAACAGCAAAGGACCTTGTGAAGATGCTGGAGGAAACAGGTACAGAAGTATCTATATCCACAGTAAAATTAATCCTATATCGACATAACCTGAAAGGCCGCTCAGCAAGGAAGAAGCCACTGCTCCAAAACCGCCATAAAAAAGCCAGACTACGGTTTGCAACTGCACATGGGGACAAAGATCGTACTTTTTGGAGAAATGTCCTCTGGTCTGAAGAAACAAAAATAGAACTGTTTGGCCATAATGACCATAGTTATGTTTGGAGGAAAAAGGGGGTTGCTTGCAAGCCGAAGAACATCATCCCAACCGTGAAGCACGGGGGTGGCAGCATCATGCTGTGGGGGTGCTTTGCTGCAGGAGGGACTGGTGCACTTCACAAAATAGATGGCATCATGAGGAAGGAAAATTATGTGGATATATTGAAGCAACATCTCAAGACATCAGTCAGGAAGTTAAAGCTTGGTCGCAAATGGGTCTTCTAAATGGACAATGACCCAAGCATACTTCCAAAGTTGTGGCAAAATGGCTTAAGGACAACAAAGTCAAGGTATTGGAGTGGCCATCACAAAGCCCTGATCTCAATCCTATAGAACATTTGTGGGCAGAACTGAAAAAGCATGTGCGAGCAAGGAGGCCTACAAACCTGACTCAGTTACACCAGCTCTGTTAGGAGGAATGGGCCAAAATTCACCCAACTTATTGTGGGAAGCTTGTGGGAGGCTACCCGAAGCATTTGACCCAAGTTAATCAATTTAAAGGCAATGCTACCAAATACTAATTGAGTGTATGTAAACTTCTGACCCACTGGGAATGTGATGAAAGAAATAAAAGCTGAAATAAATAATTCTCTCTACTATTATTCTGACATTTCACATTCTTAAAATAAAGTGGTGATCTTAACTGACCTAAGCCAGGGAATTTTTACTGTGATTAAATGTCAGGAATTGGGGAAAACTGAGTTGAAATGTATTTGGCTAAGGTGTATGTAAACTTCCGACTTCAACTGTATTCTCCAGACTTGCCCAGAGGGCAAGAATTGAAATACTTCGATTTTATGGTTAAAATATATTTTTTAATCATTTTACCACAGGAAATAGTAATTCAGTCGCCATGACTCCGACGTCGACGTCTTCTTCCAACTCTGAAGACTGCTTGAAGAACAGCTCTCCGAACACGCAGGTGCCAGGGTTAATAAGATTGATCCATATTTTGATTTAGCATATTTGATTTGAAAACTAATATTCAGGTGTTATACAAACTGACTCAAGGTTGTTTGCAAGTGATATTCTACTGTTGTCCCCTGCTTGGATATGTCTTGTGTAACTAATTATGCACAGCTAAATTATTCCCACAAATGTCAGTCAGCGTTTGTATGCTGTAAAAATTTTATTCTACATAACCTTTTATTTGGAAAGATTCATCAAAAATGCATTTTACGTACGTCTTTAGTGTTTTACAGATAAAAAGTATTTATCCACAATCTGCTCTGGTCAAGTCCGGTCCTGGCGTGTCTTAACACAATGAAACAAAAAAAAAAAATAGGCTGACTTCATCCAATGTCCAGAAAAATACATTTGCGTGATATGCAAATATGTGCATATGTAATGAGGTATTACCTAATTTGCATATTCTAATAAAAAAATGTTTTTATTTGGGTCTAAATTCACCTGGTAAAAGTTGATTGTGAAATGATTAAGATAAAAAAACTATTCCGTATTAGGGTGTGGGGCCTAAGTAAGGTTAATGTTTTATACACTACCAGTCAAAGGTTTGGACATACATACTCATTAAAATATTAAAATATTTTTTACATTGTATAATAATAGTGAAGACATCAGAACTATGAAATAACACATATGGAATCATGTAGTAACCCAAAAAGTGTTAAACAAATTCAAATATATTTGATATTTGATATTCTTCAAATAGCCACCCTTTGCGTTGATGACAGCTTTGCACACTTTTGGCAAAGCAGTCATCAATCCCCGGACCTCAACTTTAGGTACATTTTGGCAAGCTGTCATGTACCTTTTACTGAGGAGTGGCTCCAGAGGAACTCTGGAGCTCTGTCAGAGTGACCATCGGGTTCTTGGTCACCTCCCTGACCAAGGCCCTTCTCCCCCGATTGCTCAGTTTGGCCGGGCGGCCAGCTCTAGGAAGAGTCTTGGTGGTTCCAAATTTCTTCCATTTGAGAATGATGGAGGCCACTATGTTCTTGGGGACCTTCAATGCTGCAGAACTTCTTTGGTACCCTTCCCCAGATCTGTGCCTCGACACAATCCTGTCTCGGAGCTCTACGGACAATTCCTTCGACCTCATGGCTTGGTTTTTGCTCTGACATGCACTGTCAACTGTGGGACCTTGTATAGACAGGTTGTGGCCTTTCCAATCATGTCCAATCAATTGAATTTACCAAGGTGTACTCCAATCAAGTTGTAGAAACATCTCAAGGATGATCAATGGAAACAGGATGCACCTGAGCTCAATTTGAGGTCTCATAGCAAAGGGTCTGAATAGTTATGTAAATAAGGGATTTCTGTTTTTTATTTTGAATACATTTGCTAAAATTCTAAAAACCTGTTTTCACTTTGTCTTATTATGTGTGAGGTATATATTCATTGTAAGGTTCTGACTTCGTGCGTAAAATGAGCGCTTGCAAATGAGTAAATGTAAATGTAAATATACCATTAGGGGAGCCTAAAGATAAATAATCCACTTGTTTAGAGATACAAATTGATAAAAACCAGTGGGGCAGCTAAAGTACACGGTTATGAGCTTGACGCTCCTTTCCAAGAAAAATCGAAAATTCTTATTCTGGTGACATGATTATCGATGCTTGCCTGCTGTTTGAAATAATCTCTCTCTTTTGTCCATGATAATCTCATCATGTAGGCTACACCTGCACTGTATCTGTGAGCGGTTGGCCAGAAAAGCATGTGCCAATACCAAAGTGGGCACATTTATAACGCAACATCTTCTGTGAAAAAAAACATCAGTAGTTGAAAATGTGATGGAAACCCAACTTTTGATGAACTTTGAACTTGAACTTTTGATGTGCACTTCATCGTCACCCACAGACTTTTATCCACAACAAGTCAGTTTGATGGAAACATCTCTGGTGGGAAAATGTGCATAATGTTTTTATGTAAATTTTAGAATATTTGCATGAAAATCTGTTGCCAATTGAATGGAAACCTAAATATAGTGAGGATATTAACAGTGAGATGTGCAATGCCATTTTGTTTATTAGATTGAATTTAATTAAATAGATTTTAACACACTAATCTTCAGTGGCCGGCCCAGTTACCCCTGGTACTTGGGAAAAACGCCCCTTTTCTAAAAACATCATTTCATTAAATAACAAAAAAAAAGTAGCTACTTATTTCCCCTTCATAGTTTGTTTGCCTAAGCATGACCATCATCCACATACAAAAACAGTTACCAAACTTTGCTACCAAAGGGGGGGGGGGGGGGGGGGGGGGGTAGTTACCCCACGTTCCCCTACGTTTTACAGAGTAGGCAGAAGGCCTATTCAACGTGGCATTGTAGGACTAAGAAAACACACTGAATACAATGCAATAGCCCTATCGTAAACCCCACATGAACACCTATTTGTTATAGGAGCATACATAGCCTAGCTATGATTATCTATTTCTTAATCTACACATTTTAGCATCTCTAGGCCACTCACCATCATAGGCATCCACAAGACAACTCTCACCACCGCCAGGATCATGGAGAAGCGCTTTTGTGCAAAGAACACCGGGGATTCCCAGTTACTGATGGCTCCGTCATCCCTCAGTACACCGTCAGAGGCAGGGGTTGGGCAGGTATATGTTTCCACTTTGCCCCGCACCCCTAGCTCTTTCCCCAAACCACCCGGACTCAGCTCGTTGTAGGCACTGAAACTTCTGTCCAAGCTATCCCGAGAGAAGGACGGGAGGTCGCAGAGAGGCGCAGACCCGTCCCCTCTCAGATCCCTGGCTATATCCAAGTAGCTCGGGTAGAACGTCCTCTGTGGCTCCCTGGAACACAGGAGCTGGTAGGTGAGAGGAACGAAGAAGAGCACCAATCCGCAGAGACACAGGGAGTACAAAGAAAATAGGAGCAGAACGTAAAAACTTCGTCTCTCCGGGAAGCAGCCGAGAGAGTGCGGGGTGAAACTCCCCCAGCCGCACAGGGGTAGTACACTGACGGCCAGGCTGACTACCCACACCCCGGCTATCGCCAACATCACCCTCAACGGCCGAGGGCTTCCTTCTCGCTTGGTAACGTAAAAGGTGTAGGCTGCGATAAGGCAAGCTTTCATATTGCTGGAGAGTCCTTGGAAAACATAGAGAAGTCCGGATAAAGTGCATATGGTCACCGACCCTCCATCTCCATCTCTCTCCCACTGGAGGAGCATGAAGAGGGAGAGAGGTATCACGCTGAGCAGGTCGTCCACGGACATCGAAGCCACGATGAGCCACAGGATGGTTTTCCACCTCATCCGAATGAAAAAGAAGAGAGAATACACACCTCCCATGAAGGTAGCAGCGGCGATGGCTACGCACAAGCCGAAGAGAAGCAGGCTCATCTGTCTTTGCGCCTCGGTGAGGTCCGTCCTCTCGTAGCTCGCAGTGAAAAGGCTGCTCTTGTTCGGCGAAAGGGAGCTGAGCGTCGAGGACATTTTCATTTAGGTAACTTTGTCGACCTGGCTTGTGTTGCCCAATGTTCAGCCTCCCATATATAGGCCTATATATATATAAAACTTTGAACCAATGCCAAAACGTTAATCAAGTTATAACGGCACACGCAGGCTAGACTACATCCCTGGTGACTCGCTCCGATAGGCTATATATTTCAGCAGTCCAGTTGGATATATCTTGGATACATAACGGAAAGTAGCTTCCTGAACAGGACACGTTTTACCCCTACCAGTGCACTTTAGACGCGTCCCGGAGGAGATAGACAGCGAGTCTCCTCGAGGATGACGATCCGCGACTTATGTACAAACCGAGCAGTGCGTGGTGCACTTCGTCTCCAGCAGCCGGTTTACAAACCTCACGCTGTCGTCACTGTCTTTTCTCTCAATGGCAGAAGGGTGGGCTGGTGTGTAATAATAATAATAATAATAATAACTTTGGGGGTGCTTGTATTTGTCCTGGTACACACTTATACAAGTGTTCATCGTTCCAAGTGTGTAATGGAAATGTATTTCTTGCATATCGCCAAAGGGTGTGGGGTCACGGCCAGGGTCACCATTGTCCATCACCCCTGGAACCTTTGGGGTTAAGTGCCTTCCTCAAGGACACAGGGACAGATTTCTCAGGGATTCAGACTGGCAACCTTCCAGTTATTGGCCAAACGATCTAACCTCGAGGCTACCTGCTGTGTGTGTGTGTGTGTGTGTGTGTGTGCGTGCGCGTGCGTGCGCGCGCGTGCGTGCGTGCGTGCGTGTGTGCGTGTGTGTGTGTGTGTGTGTGTGTGTGTGTGTGTGTGTGTGTGTGTGTGTGCGTGCGTGCGTGTGTGTGTTTTCAATCCCGGTGCTAGGCGCTGGTTTTTTAATTGTTCTGATTGATCTGTTTCAGACAAAATACAGTATAGAGTGTTTTTCTGCTGGGTAGTTCTTTGATGTTTGCTTTCTCATCAGTATTCAGCTATGGTGACACACACACACACACACACACACACGCACACGCACACACACACGCACTCCATAATGCTGCTGGGTCCCAGCGGTTCCCTCTGTCATCTCTCAGACTACATTTACATCAAGTTATTAACTACAACAGAACACCCAGTCTGTGTGTGTGTGTGTGTGTGTGTGTGTGTGTGTGTGTGGTGTGGTGTGTGTGGACCACGGGGCCCTTGTGTCTGTGAATAATTTGATTGGGAGCACCAAAGAAAGCACATGGACAGGCAGGCTTCCTTCACTTAAGCCAATTTCACCCTGTAAGCATTTCCAGAGCCCCATATGGACCTGATCGCAGCTAGGGGTTAAAGAGTGTGATGGACCTTGAACGCAGCTAGGGGATAAAGAGTGTGATGGACCTGAACGCAGCTAGGGGATAAAGAGTGTGATGGACCTTAACGCAGCTAGGGGATAGACAGTGTATTAACATTAACATCTTGTTTCCATTGGACAACACACCACCGATGGGTCACCTCCTCACCAGACTCAATTACTAGAGATTGGGCTGCGTGGACCAGATTAACCGGGCTGAGTGGACCAGATTCAATGGAATGGGTGGACCAGATTAACTGGGCTGTGTAGACCAGATTAACCGGGCTGGATGGACCAGATTAACCGGGCTGGGTGGACCAGATTAACCGGGCTGGGTGGACCAGATTAACCGGGCTGGGTGGACCAGATTAACCGGGCTGGGTGGACCAGATTAACCGGGCTGGGTGGACCAGATTAACCGGGCTGGATGGACCAGATTAACCGGGCTGTGTAGACCAGATTAACCGGGCTGGATGGACCAGATTAACCAGTCTGGTCGGACCAGATTAACCGGGCTGGTTGGACCAGATTAACTGAGCTGGGTGGCCCAGATTAACCGGGCTAGGTGGACCAGATTAACCGGGCTGATTGGACCAGATTAACCGGGCTGGGCGGACTAGATTAACCGGGCTGGACAGACCAGATTAACCGGGCTGGACAGACCAGATTAAGCGGGCTGGTTGGACCAGATTAACCGGGCTGGGTGGACCAGATTAACCGGGTTGATTGGACCAGATTAACCGGGCTGGGCGGGGCTAGATTAAACCGGGCTGGACAGACCAGGTTAACCGGGCTGGTTGACCGATTAACCGGGCTGGTTTGGACCAGATTAACCCGGGGTGGGGACAGATAACCTAAACCGATTTAAACCCGGGCTTGGACAGACCAGATTAAACCGGCTGGTTGGACCAGATTAACCGGGGGGGGACCAGATTAACCGGGCTGGGGACCAGATTAACCGGGGCTGGGACCAGATTAACCGGGTGGGGTTGGACCAGATTAAACCCGGGTGGTTTGGGCCAGATTAACCGGGCTTTATTGGACCAAAATTAACCGGGCTGGGTAGACCAGATTAAAAAACCGGCTGGGTTTGGGCCAGATTAACCGGGGTGGGTGGACCAAATTAACCGGGCTGGGTGGACCAGATTACCGGGCTGGTTGGACCAGATTAACCGATGAGATATATTGATCTGTGCATGCAGAGAGTTGCAGGAGGGAAGGGTACTGTATACAGGCTTGTCCTTGCAGGGTGTAGTTGACTGGTTTCCACCGGCACCAGTTCAAACAGGGTGTAGTTGACTGGTTGTCCATCGTGCCACCATGTTTATCAGGGTGTAGTTGACTGGTTGTCCACCGTGCCACCAAAGTTCATCAGGGTGTAGTTGGGCTGGTTGTCCACCGTGCCACCCTGTTCGTCAGGGTGTGTTGGACTGGTTGGTCCACCGTGCCCACCCTGTTCGTCAGGGTTTTAGTTGGGCTGGTTGTCCACCGTGCCACCATGTTCATCAGGGTGTAGTTGACGGGTTGTCCACCGTGCCACCATGTTCATCAGGGTGTGTTGACTGGTTCCACCGTGCCACCCATGTTATCAGGTGTAGTTGTTGTACGGTGCCCACCTCGGGGTTTGGTGTCACTGCCACATGTTATCAGGGTGTAGTGACTGGTTGTCCACCGTGCCACCATGTTATCAGGGTGAGTTGACTGGTTGTCCACGTGCACCAGTTATCAGGGTGTAGTTGACTGGTTGTCCACCGTGCCACCATGTCCAGGGTGTAGTTGACTGTTGTCCACCGTGCCACCCATGTTCATCAGGTGTAGTTGACTGGTTGTCCACCGTGCCACCATGTTCATCAGGGTGTAGTTGACTGGTTGTCCACCGTGCCACATGTTCATCAGGGTGTAGTTGACTGGTTGTCCCACCGTGCCACCATGTTTATCAGGGTGTAGTTGACTGGTTGTCCACCCGTGCCACCATGTTTATCAGGGTGTAGTTGACTGGTTGTCCACCGTGCCACCATGTTTATCAGGGTGTAGTTGACTGGTTGTCCACCGTGCCACCATGTTTATCAGGGTGTAGTTGACTGGTTGTCCACCGTGCCACCATGTTTATCAGGGTGTAGTTGACTGGTTGTCCACCGTGCCACCATGTTTATCAGGGTGTAGTTGACTGGTTGTCCACCGTGCCACCATGTTCATCAGGGTGTAGTTGACTGGTTGTCCACCGTGCCACCATGTTCATCAGGGTGTAGTTGACTGGTTGTCCACCTGTGCCACCCATGTTCATCAGGGTGTAGTTGACTGGTTGTCCACCGTGCCACCATGTTCATCAGGGTGTAGTTTGACTGGTTGTCCACCGTGCCAACCATGTTCATCAGGGTGAGTTGACTGGTTGTCCACCGTGCCACCATGTTCATCAGGGTGTAGTTGACTGGTTGTCCACCGTGCCACCATGTTCATCAGGGTGTAGTTGACTGGTTGTCCACCGTGCCACCATGTTCATCAGGGTGTAGTTGACTGGTTGTCCACCGTGCCACCATGTTCATCAGGGTGACGTTGACTGGTTGTCCACCGTGCACCATGTTCATCAGGGTGTAGTTGACTGGTTGTCCACCGTGCCACCATGTTCATCAGGGTGTGTTGACTGGTTGTCCACCGTGCCACCATGTTCATCAGGGTGTAGTTGACTGTTGTCCACCGTGCCACCTGTTCGTCAGGGTGTAGTTGACTGTTTGTCCACCGTGCCACCATGTCATCAGGGTGTAGTTGACTGGTTGTCCACCGTGCCACCATGTTCATCAGGGTGTAGTTGACTGGTTGTCCACCGTGCCACCATGTTATCGGTGTGTAGTTGACTGGTGTCCACCGTGCCACCATGTTTGTCAGGGTGTAGTTGACTGGTTGTCCACCGTGCCCACCATGTTCATCAGGGTGTAGTTGACTGGTTGTCCACCGTGCCACCATGTTCATCAGGGTGTAGTTGACTGGTTGTCCACCGTGCCACCATGTTCGTCAGGGTGTAGTTGACTGGTTGTCCACCGTGCCACCATGTTCATCAGGGTGTAGTTGACTGGTTGTCCACCGTGCCACCATGTTCGTCAGGGTGTAGTTGACTGGTTGTCCACCGTGCCACCATGTTCGTCAGGGTGTAGTTGACTGGTTGTCCACCGTGCCACCATGTTCGTCAGGGTGTAGTTGACTGGTTGTCCACCGTGCCACCATGTTCATCAGGGTGTAGTTGACTGGTTGTCCACCGTGCCACCATGTTCATCAGGGTGTAGTTGACTGGTTGTCCACCGTGCCACCATGTTCGTCAGGGTGTAGTTGACTGGTTGTCCACCGTGCCACCATGTTCGTCAGGGTGTAGTTGACTGGTTGTCCACCGTGCCACCATGTTCGTCAGGGTGTAGTTGACTGGTTGTCACCGTGCCACCATGTTCATCAGGTGTAGTTGACTGGTTTGTCCACCGTGCCACCATGTTCATCAGGGTGTAGTTGACTGGTTGTCCACCGTGCCACCATGTTCATCAGGGTGTAGTTGACTGGTTGTCCACCGTGCCACCATGTTCATCAGGGTGTTAGTTGACTGGTTGTCAACCGTGCACCCATGTTCATCAGGGTGTAGTTGACTGGTTGTCCACCGTCCACCATGTTCATCAGGGTGTAGTTGACTGGTTGTCCACCGTGCCACC